ATTTTTTGTTCATTATGTACACTTTTTTATTTTATAGCATATGCTATCTTTATCTAACTTATCTGAGATAATGTAATATTTGTGAACCTTATTCATTCTGCTGAAATATTTTGTACTGTACATTGCAATTACTGTAATATGAAAATTTTACTTTTTAATTAAAGCTCCATACCTATACGTAATTATTACGACGCGGAAATAAAATAAAATGAATGCTTAATTACGGAACTTTGTTACCTGACAGGAGCCCATTTACTTTGTGCAAATTACAGAAATTAAGGAACATTAACTAGGTGTAAGTATATGATGCTTAAATTATCCCTTTTTAGAGTTTAAAGCAAATAAAAGGATGCCAGCAAATTGTTTGATTTTAACGTGACAGACTTTGTAATGTCTTCAGCGTGAATATGCCAATTTCACCTATTTTAACCAAGCTGAAGAGGAAACGTCGCTACACATTCTATGTGATTATAGGCTCCTTATGCATGATGAACGTAATATCCCCTTTGGAAAGTTTACATTCTGTATTCTATGCTGAGAGGATAAAAAACTATTCTTCCTTCAATTCCTGTCCCTGACGACTCTACGTAGCGAACTCTGAAAAAGGGCGAGCACAATGGATCTATGTAGGTCGTAGTGTTGCAGGTCTAAGCACCTGACAATAGCTCAAATCCCTCAATAAAAAATAAATCACCGATTTCACCTGCCAAGCAGCGTGTCTTGTAGGTTGAGTTTCAGTTGAAGAGTAAAATAAAGAGATGACATTACAGGATATACATAAAACAGAACATCTTAGTCCGGAATTACAGCTTATAGATAGTACCACGGTCGTCACATGTAGGCGTTCCATATACCATAGTTCATATTTTCCTCTTCGATCGATCTCCTGTACAATTCAAAGGGAGATCAGAATTACGACAGCCTAAGTGGTTTAAATTTGAATTTGAAGCTGCAAAGACCAACTGCGGCCAACAGTATTAGATAGTTTGAAAACGTAGTACACGTAGACGTGATGTCAGTGGTGCTGTTCATATTGTTGACGGTTGTTACTTGATTGTATTCGTTAGAAAGGCTTTCGTAATTCGAAGTGCATACAGTTATGTAATAAAAAATTCCTATAAAATTATTATAGTACTTATGTGACCTAAAAGAAGCGACTTAACTTAGCATTTCTAAATTTCAATCAGTATTAATAATGACAAAGAAAATCTGGAGATACTTCGCCAGTTATTGACAATAACAAGATATTCAACGTTTTATATTAGAATCAAGCTTCTATTACTGCCGTATTGGAGACAAATGCGATATGACATATCAATATGTGTTATAAGTGATTACAACAGATACATATAACTATCCTAACATTAAGACCATTCATGCTGAATTTATTTACCGTATTTATTTACACGTTATACGTGGTGTTATTCACATTTCAGAAATAACTAGATATTTCCACTCCGTCCTTCAACATTTTTGTTGGTTTTCGAATGAATAAATATTCGATTAAATCTTTTCCAGGTTTTGTTCCTGAATTTTATCGAGTTTGTTTAGCTCAAATCGAAATGACAAAAACACTATTTCAATTGTAATGAAAGTTATTTTTTGCGGTCCTTTAATTTTATATTTACAGTTGAAGTACTTTCAACTCTTTCAGAGAATTACCATTCATTGACTTAATGGCCCATTATATTCCAACTACTGGACAAATTATGTTCTTTTAAGAGGAATAAATATTCAATTTACTATTATCTACATTTAAATTTACAAGCAAAATATATACGTTGTAGTAAATATTAACAGATAGTTAAGCTAGTTTTTAATTTTTAATTTTCAATGTAAATAAAAATCCTTAATATTTTTTTAAACAACAATGCATTTTTTCATAGAAATATAGGTTACTTATGTTATCTGTGCTAATAGTAACTCAATAAAATGGAAAAGAAAAACGTGAGATCCGTCCTGTTATGATGAAGATATCATACATATAAAATTGCGATCGAACTCGAAAACTGTCTGTTAACAGTTCGTTGAAAATTATTTCGAATAGCAAAATATGAAGCCTTTCGAATACACGGCATTACAAAGTTTTAATTAAAATATAATACTAATTATAACATCGCATACACGTACGTCGTGTCTCACCATCACAAAGAAGCTCACAGACATTTCTGTAATTTAGCATGCAGAACGTTGAAGGGGCTTAGATTGTTCATAGCTACTATGCAAATGTACATTTGTCTTTGGAGCGCCGCCAGAAAAGTTTCGTTGACAGATAACGGACGATTGCAAGGACATCCTGATAAAAACAAATACATGGCTTACAAGGCAATCTAAAGAGTTCTTATTTAATCGCACTTACAACATTAAAAATACCTTTTTAAATAATTCTAGATATTTTTTTTTTTTTATTGGGTTGTTTGGGCTATTGTCAGATGTGTAGCACCTGTAGCACTGCGACCTACATAGATCTATTGTGCTCGCCCTTTTCAGAGTTCGCTACCTAGACCCGTCAGGGACAAGAATTGAAGGATATTCTTAGGAGCGATCGTTTTTATCTCCTCGGGAAAGAGTGTAAACTTTCCAAAGGAGATATTTCGTTTATGCATGAGTGGGCTACAACCACATAGGATGTGAAGCGGCGTTTCCTCTTCAGTTTGGCAGAATCTGCAGATACTTGTCGTGCATAGGCCTAGCTTAGCCATATGCTTGTTCAATTTGCAGTGTCCTGTGAGGGCCCTAGTCATCATGCATATGTTGTTTTTACTCAATTGCAGTAATCTATTGGAGTATTTGGTCGAGAAGCCCGATATAAGGTCTTTTGAATGTATTAATCCTGGCATTTCTTGCCAGTGATTCAGTGCTTCTCGTTTGGTTATTAATTTGAGATGTCCCAGTTTTAGGCAACGAGGCACACCACAGAAGGGTTCGGGGCCCAGTTGGACGGTTTTTGCCCCTAACTTTGCCAGATGGTCGGCATTCTCATTGCCTTCAATATTTGAATGCCCGGGGACCCATCTCAGTATAATATTATTTCTGCTTCCTACTTCATTTAGTAGCAGGATACAGTTTCTAATAAGTTTAGAACGGATTTCGTACGAGTTAAGTGCTAGTAGAGCAGCTTGACTGTCCGAATAAATGTATATGTTCTGATTGATGTAGTTGAGGCTTAGGATTACTTCCAGACATCTAATTAAGGCGTAAGTCTCTGCCTGAAAGATTGAGGCGTATTTTCCTAAGCCTATATAGTTGCAGATTTTGGGTTTTACACCACATATTCCACATCCTACATCATCTCCTATTTTGGACCCGTCTGTAAACCAGACTAGGTCATGCTCTGAGTGAGACGGTGTATGGTTATTTTGCCATTCGTCTCTTCCAGATATTTCGATTTTGTAATATTGTACAAAGTTACACTCTGGTGCCACGTTGTCTTCAGGCATTCCCAGAATAGGATCACTCATAATCGAGTCTTGTATAGTTTTTATGGCCAGGGAATGCCAAGATATCCTCCTTTAAACTTATTCTGAGCATATTGGCTTTCGCCTTTTCCTGTATGAATAGAGGAAGGGGCGTCAAGTCCAATAATGCGTAGCATTTCTCCCGGCGTGGTGCTCATCAGCTCCTGTAATAATCAGACAAGCAATTCTCTGTAGGCTGTTTAGCTTGGTGGCAGCTGTGGATTGGAGGGTTTTCCTCCACCAGATTGCGCAGGCATAGGTGGTAAGCGGTCTCACCACTGCTGTATAAAGCCATAGGGCAATTTTGGGGTTGATTCCCCATCTGGGCCCCGCTACCCGTCGGCTTATACCTAGGGATGTTTTCGCCTTTTGAGTTATGTTGTCTATGTGTGTGTTCCATGTCAGTTTTTGGTCGAAGGTTACGCCCAGGTACTTGACTTCTTTGGAGCACTCTAATATTCTTCCATTTACTTTAGGCATGACAAGTTTGTCAAGTTTCTTCCTTTTTGTAAACGGAACAATTACTGTTTTATCAGGATTTACTGATAATTCATTTTCCTTACACCATTTAACTATGATGTTTAGTGCTCTTTGGATGCGGTCTGATATTGTTGTTGCACAGAACCCTCTGACCATGACTACTAAATCGTCTGCGTAGCCTTGTACCTCAAATTGGTTTTTGGTCATAACATCTAAGAGCTGGTCTACCGTTAGTAGCCACAGCAGTGGCGATAAAACGCCTCCTTGAGGGCATCCTTTGATAGGTCGGATTTCTAACGTACTGTTGTAGTTTTAATGGTTCGATTTGAGAGCATTGCTTTGATCCATTGAGTGGTGGTTTCATCCACTTTCTTGCGGATGAGTCCCTGTGAGATGGTCTCTATGGGCGTGTTATCAAAAGCACCCTCAATATCGAGAAATGCACATAGAGCTATTTGTTTGTCCTCAAAGGCCTTCTCGACCTTGTCGGTGAGTTCGAGCAAGGCGGTCTCTGTGGAATGTCCCTTGCGGTAGGCATGTTGATTCCTGTGCAGGGGAGCATTTTCGAGGATTATAGCTCTAATGTGTTGGTCCAGAACCTTTTCCATGGTTTTTATTATGAAAGAGGTTAGGCTTATAGGTCTGTGAGACTTTGGCTGCGAGTAGTCTCTTCGACCGGTTTTCGGTACGTAGGTAACTTTGACCTTCGTTAATGGTTCTGGTATAAAACCCCAGGCAAAGCTGGCTCTAAATATTCTTACCAGATAGGGAGATAGGATGTCAAGCCCTTGTTGTAACAGGGCCGGGAAAATTCCATCTTCTCCCGATGATTTATATGGCTTGAAAGATTTTATAGCCCATATAATTTGTTTTGGTCGAAAAATCCTCGCAGCTCTGTTCCACGCCTCATGGTTGGGCTTTTGTAGATGTGAGCTTGGAGGGTTCTCCTTATCTCTTGAGATATGAACCGAGCCAGGGAAGTGGGTTGTAGATAGCAGCTGTAGAGTTTCTTCCTCTGATGTCGTATAGGTACCATTGGGCCTTTTCATAAGTCCAATTTGGTTATATATACGCCTTGGCAAGCATTTTGTGTAATCTGGATCCTTGGGGAGTCTGAGTTATTCCTCGCAGAAAGCACGCCATGATGCTTTTTTGGCTTTCTAATTTCGCAGTAGTATTCCGTTTGGGCTTTACTATATTGGGCCCATTTTTTTTAGCCCTGTTGGATAATTTGCGAGTTTTCTTCCTCAACTTTTCTAGACTCTTATTCCACCAGGGTGTTTTACATTTGGCGGTTTTGGTTTTGATGGGACAGTTGTTCTGGTAGGCACTTATTATGCCACTTAGAAGTATGTCCACAGCGAGTTCTAGTTCTAGAGGAGATTTGATACTCTTCGGAAGTTCCGCGATTATGCTTGTAAGACTGTCTCTGTATTTAGGCCAATCTGTAGCCTTTGGGTTTCTGTAGAAATGGGGTTTGAGTCTGTTGCGCCTCAATTGTGAATCTGATGTGCTTGTGATCAGACATGGAGTTCTCATTGCTGACATGCCAATGAGTGATATATTCGGCCAGTTTGTCGGTCGCGAGTGTTATATCTAGTACCTCTTGTCTTGTGGCAGTGACGAACGTCGGTGTGCACCCTGTATTTAGGATTTGAAGACAGTTGGTTAGTATAAAATCATCAAGTGACTTACCTCTGGTGTTGATGTCAGAGCTTCCCCAGTTTGTGTGATGGGCGTTTGCATCGCAGCCCACGAGGAGTTCGGCCTTGTGCTTACGGGCGTATTCCACCACAGGCTGTAGGCCGGTTGTCGGGTCTTTGATGATTTTGTTGTTTTCATCATGTCCAGGTAGGTATGCAGAGCAGACCAGTACTTTTGACCCTGTGCATCCAGGGAAATTGACGAAGGCTGTCACTAGGTCATCTGTACATAGTTCTGGAACAGTCAGAAAATCTAGTTTCTTATTAAAAAGAATGCATGCTCTAGGTTTAGTGCCAGTGGTATTAAAAAGAATATTACCTGAGGCATTGAGGCCTAAAGGCGTGGCTTTGTTGAGCCATGGCTCTTGTATCAGAGTAAGGTCCAAGTCGTTTTTGCGGAAGAGGTTTTCTATGACCGCTGTTGCTGCCATAGCATGATGTAAGTTGACCTGGACAATGTTGGCTCTGATACATTGCTTGCGTGTGGGCGTGTTAGCAGCTTCCTTTCGCCTTCCCTGTGGAACGTGGGCGTCCCTTTGGGTTGCGATTGGAAGCTGTGGCGCTCCTGCCGCGATCTTTCCGTCCCGTCTTGAAACTGGGGATCCTCGTCTGGGGATTCTAGATATAGTCGTATCTCTACAATTTATTTAAAAGGGTACCATTGAATTCTCTTTTGGATTAAGTTCAAGTAAACAACTCCTTACTATTAAGTTTATTTAGTTGTGTATTGTCTATTAAAGTTTATAAAAAACATATAAGAATATTAATAGTAGAATATATCAATATTAGAATATTATCAACATATAATTTTTATACGATTGTATAACAATATCAAGTTATCTCCTATTTGCCATTAATTCATACTAATATGCTTAAGTGTCTCTGTCTGTCTATTAGTTACATGTATTCACGAAGAAACCGCTGAACGGATAATAAAATTAAACACGAATGTATGTTGTAACACGAGTATGAACATAGGCTATCTTTTATCTCTAAAAATAATATGGAAGGCCCGAAATAAAGCGATCAATATCAACGGCCTCGATGGTCTATCGGTTTAGCAGTCTGGCTTACTTTCCAATTGTTTTGGGTTCGATTCCTCGTATGGTACAAACATATGTATTAATTAGTACAATTTTATTTGTATCGGTAAAAAAAATTATTATGTAGGTTGTTTAGTCCCCATAATACAAGGTCTGCTTAGATTGGGACTGGATGGCGCTGTGTTAATTTATATTTATGCAGACAAATTCATACATATATAACTGTGTAATAACTTATTCAGAATATGAAGTGAAGTATAAAATTATCTAAGTTATACATTTGGCTGGATATAATGATTAAAACGCGCCAACACTATATAACTATATTATTTCCTAAATATTCAACTTACTAATCTAGAATTAACGTAAACGGTATGTTAATTATTAATTTATCATGCCTATAGCTTTACGTTAATGTCTAATAGATATAATATTATATTAGAATAGTTAAATATTATATTATAATAGATATAATAATCATAGCTTTGGATTTAGAGGGGATTTATATATATGAGGCATATCAGTGTATCCTGAATTAATATGATTGGAATAAAGACGAACAGAAATTAATATAAAATAATAGAAATAGTACTATTTTTATTTATTACTCATTCTTCTCTTCTAAATAACTATAACATTACATTTTTGGTGACAATCTATAAAATAACACTAATACATTAGATTCAAAATATTAAATTTATTTTGTTACTGTATCGTGTGTGTTGTTATTGTTGGTTTCTATTACAGGAGAGTCGGTTTTTTCTTTATAACTGAATATAATATGAGTATATAAATGAATAACGAGGTTTCAAACTCGCGACCGTCAGAAGTAAAGCATTGTGCTAAAACGCCGAGTCAGTAAATTGGTACAAAATAATGATTTTGATAAGCTGATGACATAGATAAATTCTTATGTCATCAGCTTATCAACAATCCTCTCAAGAATAAAGTTGTTTATATTATATATAATTTATATAATGGACCATCACTTCCAGAAGATCACCCGCAGTTGTCCTTGAATATATAATAAGTAATAGGTAAACAGAATAAATCTGGAACACCATTTTTGCATAATCCCAAATTGCTTACATATTAGTTGAAGCATTATCTGTATGCTAATATTTGTAGAAAGTGAAAACTGTTTTCATACTATATTAAATACTAGTAACCCATCCAGATTTCGCAAATGTGCAAAAATTTGTTGGTAAATAAAAAATAATCTATGTGACTCTGCGAATCTTTCATAAATCAACTAAATATTTGTTTATGTAGGTCTTCAAACAAACACCATATTATTCTTTTTTATTCGTTCATTATCTATTAGTTCACAGTAACAAAGTAACTTCTTCAACATCATCTTCTTATCCCATTTAACATGTTTTTCTCTTCCTGAATAGAACAGAAAAACATATTCCTGTTCCTAGTTATCTCTAATAAACTAATTTTATTTGTATTAAATATTATTTATAGCTAATATGGAAGTAAATTCTATTAATGACAATTTATCTTAAAAATCCGTTCAAAATTAGTGAGTCGTACAGAGATTATTTAAAATCTAATATGTAGAATATTGATCACAGAGATGGGACTCGATTACATAGATATAGGTCAGAACAAAGGATAATTTATTTCATTATTATCGAAGGATAAAGGAAAGGTAAATAATATTATTATGTAGATTAGTTAAAATATATATATACGCATACCACTTGTCTCTAGACAGTAGCTACCACTTATGTTGAGAAGGTCACAACATAAATCTTGAACAGGATCACTTAATGAAAGCGCAGTCTCAAACTTCAAAAGATAGAATATTATCTCAACGTTTTCTTACTAAACAAATAAATATATTATTTATAAGTATTTACGTAACTTATCACTTATTATACAACCTTTAATATATATACAAATTAAAAAAATATTCCATTTTCAAAATTAAAACACCGGTTATGTTTTTAATTGCCATTCAAATGTTACGCTTGTATCCATGTAAATATATCAAATTTCTTTTGGCAAATTACATTATTTCACTTACCTAGTCTGAAATTAGGACGAGCACGTTCATCCTCAAACGTGATAGGAATAAACTGGGAATTCAGGTAGGAATAATTTTAAGCAGTGGTCTTTGCACCACCATAAATAACAATAACAGAGTCCCGTGAAAACGATATGGTTGACGTAAAACTGGAAAATAATAAAATGTTGTACGTGGAATGAATTTCTGTGGTTACACCATTGTTGTTGAGACGTTTTATTATCAAACGGTTTTGTACTGTACAGAATAGATAATAAGTCGTTAAGTTATTTGATAGAAAATTGTTACCGACTGCTACACATAATGTGGACCACTGGCGGAACATAATATATAAAGGTATTCATAATATAGCTTATTCTCTTAAAACTACCGACCATTTTTTCGCCAGTGTACCTTTTTGGTCATGCTAGAGTTTTAGACCCACTTCTTTAATATTTGGTGTTTTTTTTACTATTTTTGACATACGCCCCTCTAAAAGTATACAGATTTCGATGATTCGTTATTAAAATCGATAGTATTTGCTTCCGTATCTATTTAATCTTAATTATGTCTTATAGTTTTTTGTTTTTTCTTGAAGCTATTGTTATAATAATGGCCATAAATTCAATGAACGTAAATGAAAAAATATAACATAATAATATCCTCAATCACTGATAAAAATTGGAATCTGGTTTATGTTATGACGTGCCGTTGATATGACTTTGATATGGGTACGGGAGAATTAAAAATTAACCTATCGAACACAGGTACAAATGCACTATATGTAATATGCCACTAAAAATGTATAGGCTTGGAGTGAGATTTATATTTTTCCATAACAGTAAGGTCTATTTTATTTCATATTTTCACAGGTATATTTTAAACAAATCTGTAGCTAATAGAAGCAAACGACTTTGTTAGATGTAGATTTTTTTATAAATCTGCATGCATCTATATATTTATTACTAGTATTTACATAACCTAATTGTACAACTAAGAACCTAAAATTAAAAAGCTTAAAAAAAATATATAATATGATGACTAAAATATATTATTGTATATATATACTGTATGTTTAACGTTAATAAAAAAAATATCTATCTATCTATGTATCTCACTCAATTCGGCCGCTGGCCAACTCATTTGAATACAGTGTTACGGTTTAAATAATGATTATACAGCAGTGAATTTCAGCAAAGCAACTTGCTTAATAACCTTTACTGCGCTTAAAATGTGAAAATGTGGCAGTAAAATTACAGAGTCCGGAAGCTTAACTTCTTAGTTATCCGGAATAGCAATGCATGAGGGATGTATTGCCATTTCCATTAAATGTTAAGCTAAGTTGAGAGGGCGGTACATGAAGAAGTCATAAGAATCACCTTGCTATTCCATTTACAGAAAAATATAATGACTAAATACCTTGCCTTCAGATTTTCCTATTCTAATGGTCAGAAACTTGCGTATAATTTATCTAGTTTTGGCAATATTAATACATTATGTATGAAGTAAGTTCCGTCAAAGATTATATTATTGCTTATCTGTACAAACCCTTTGCGATGTCCTTAATCTAGTTTCAGTGAAAATTGGTAGATTATGGTTTCTAGGCAAATATCATTAGTACTGAAAGCCCTAACTTTGCTTGACAAATGTGACCTAACGATGACAAACGACATCTCGTCGTCAGTCTCAAGTATCAGAACTAAAGTTCACCTAGTATATTAACTTGAAGTAATATTAATTGTACGATTTCGTACAAGGAATTGTCACTCGTGGATGGTCAACTTTGTTGGTCAACAAAACTAAGAGAAAAATGATTTGTTTGTTTGTGTATTAGTCGTCTGTGTAGGTCTTTAATTCTATCTTTAATACTGCTAGTGATGTTTTTTTCGGACTACTCGAATGCTGTTGGCCGCAACTGGTCTTTTCAGCGTCACTGGACGATGCTGCTAAAGACTGGAGCTAGATCACTAAACAACTATTCAATAACTAATAAAAAATTAACAGGAATAATTAACCTGAATACATATTCAGGACATAGACATCTACATCCTAGGAAAATAACACAATAAATATTTGTAAAAGAAATTGTTTACAAGCTGCCAGCAACATAGTGAAGTTTGTGTTGCTATTTAGTAATAATAAGAATATTAGGGCAATTCACATAGCGTCATCTCGATCAAAATTGAGCTAGCTGAAGCTTGTGTTAAGGACATGGGTAACTGATACAAATATATAATCGATATATTTTTTCCTAAATACATACATATTATACAAAGAAAACACTTGGACTGATACAAACAATCATAGTTATGAATACAAATGTTTGTGCTGTGCAAGGAATCGAACTTACGTCCATTAGAAGAAAGTCGGTGTGTTAAACTGCAATATTATGTAAAGGCATTTATATTTTTTATAATTTGATGTCTATCTAATTTTGCATTGTGATCTTACTCCAAACAATAGTAGTAACTTAAACAATAGTACATATCACTTTTAATGCCAATCAAATCTCTTTTTTGTTTTTGCATAAAATAACAAAGTATAGTGCAGATATAACTACAGACGTTTTTTATTTTCAT